TAAACACATGCTAAAAACACAAATCTTCAGCCCTAAAGACAAATAAATGAACAAGAAAACAGCCTACCATTTGCCCAGTAAAACACCTCTTTTGCATTTGTTGTGGAGTTCAATTACTTTTCTGCAGCTTGGATGAGCACATCCACCATGCAGGATTGGACCTACTCCTTAGCATCAGCTGAGAAGGCTGCACTAAACTTTGCTCAGATGGAAGATTTCCTTTCTTCCCCAGCCATCCTGCTCCCTGAAAAAAAAAAAAAATATCTTAAAGGTGATGGAGGGCAAACAGAATCCCTGCTGTAGCCAGCAGAGTGTCTGCAGAGCTGTGCATGCTGAGAGGGAGGGCTGACACCTCGGGAGATTTTCCATCAGCATCCTGCTGTGTACCAGCTTCCTACACAGGCAAGCTCCACACAAAAGAGTTAATCACAAACTCATCGTCCTGAAAAAGATCAACACAAGCGACTCTTGCTTATACATTGCTGGGGTTGTGCTAACATACATACTCAGGCTGGGCTTCCCAGGGCTGGATCCAGCTGCGTTAATCTGCTGCTATCCTGTGCAGCCAGAAGCAACTTAATCTTTTCTGTCAGTCTTGCTTTTAAAGGCAATGTGAAGGAAAAGCAAGAAAAGCTCCGAGACAAGAGCTAAAAAGCTTTTAAAAGAACTAAAAGGAGCCTGTTTTGTCTGACTGATAATTTGAATTGCCCACTTTTGAAGCTCAGCTGGTAGTGCTCAAAGTAAGGGAAGCAGAAGGCAGCGCTGTCATGCAAGGCTCCACTCCTGGGGACAGAGCAGGAGAAAGGCAGCAATTGAGTCGGCAGAAAGAAATAGTGTAAATATTTTGCCTGCTACAGTAAAGGCCATTTAATAGAAGCTAAGGGCAACAAAAGGAATGTGGGTGGCTCAGGTGGCTGTGAGATGTTTACACAGACTCTTGGAGAAATGAAGACAGGATGTATTTGTCCCACCTATTGGAAGTAGCCATGCATGTGTGGGAAAATGCATTCAGATCCCCTGTTTTCATGCAGAAAAAGAGCACTCTTCCCCCTTTTCACAATAAATAAAGAAAGAAGATGGGCTCAAGGTGGTGGGGGAAGGGGATGGAGTGAGATGGCACTGAAGCTTCCCTTTCAGTGAAACCTGGTTCAGGGCTCTTCTGGCCCTCCTTTGGTGCCACAATGTATCATAATTTAAACTGGTGATGTGATGTGATCACAGCACATAATCCAAGGAAGATGGCAAAAGCCATCCTGCAAAAGAAAACATCTCAAAGGCAAGCTGCATTCACATCCCTTCCAAAGCTGAGAGAGGCTAAGCTGTGTGCTCTGCTTGTATGCTCTCTGTCCCAATGCACTGTGATGAAACTTAAATTTGCACACCAATGTGTGATTGTTTCCACAAACCATTCCAAAATGGAGCTTGAAAAAAAAAACTTAAAAAAGAGAGTAATTGTTATCAAAAAATACTAATAAAAAACCCTTTTCCTTTTTTTTTCCACATTGAAAATTTCTCTCTGTGTATTCCTCTACCATCTGGTGTACTCTGTTAGGAACAGAGACAGCTGCATGAAACTGAAAACTATTTCTGTTCCATACTCCATAAGTGATCCAGGCTTGCATACTGCTTGCATCTGACACAATGGAACAAAATAGAAATCAGCTTGTTCAGAGAATTGTTTAGAAATTCTCATCCTTCTTTCTCCCAATAAGAGTTTGAATAAGGCAGGGATCCCCTAAAGAGTGCAGGAAAGGCCATTTTAAGAAACACTTTCTATGTTTCTTCTCCACTCAAGGAAGAGAAGATGCATTTCAAATCCATCCATGTCAATCCTGACCCTTCGGTGATGCTGTGCACCAGGAAAGCCCTACTGGAAGCATTTTCCCTGGAGGACAGCACTGCTTTCCCAGCCTCAAAAGTGCTCTGAGGAGCTGCAGAATCTTGTATAACTGTGCTTGTTCCTGACACACAACCTGTGTTTGGTGTCTCCAGACTGATGCTCAGGTAAGCACCAGCCTGGTGAGACATGAAATGAGACAATCCTTGAATGCCTGAATTCTGCCTGGATCTCTGGAAAGGACTGAGCCTAAAGAGACAGCAGACCATGAGGGTGGTCTGTGGAGGCACTGCTGGCCAGCCCAGCCCCACGAGCTGCTCCTGCTCCTCTGGGCAGGGCTGGGGCTGAAGGCAAGCAGGGCTCAGCTCAGCCCACACACAGGTGAGCATGGGGCAGGCAGCGCAGCAAGAAATGTTTGCTTTCTCATGGATTTTGGAGTTTGCCAGCTGAAGGACTCAAGAAAATACAAGTATCTCAGTATTGGAGGACATGTATTTAAGAGAGCAGGTAATGAGTAGCATAATGTTGCTTCTGACCCCCTGACATGGGAAAATTTGTCTAAGAAACACATTTGGCAAGAGCCTGCGGGCTAAATCCTATTGTAAGCAGAGGCAAAGAGTGACAAAGGGCATGTTAGATCATAAAGAGCAGCTTTGAGGCTTTTAGGAAATATAAACAAATGGGAAGCAAGAAGTACTGGGAGATCTACAGAAAACAAGACAAAGGAAGGTGGAGGAGATTTTATATTCAGAGCAACAAAAAGCAACACTAAACATTGAATTTTAGTAAACATTTCAACCAGCCACAGTAGAGTCATCAAAAAATATTTGCATTTTGCAAATGAGGGAAGATTAAAGAGAAGGCAATTGAGGACTGAGCAATGGGAGAATGAAAGGAAATGTATTAAATCATTCATTTGAATTCTTTATTTACTTACAAAACTGGAAAGCTGCTGAAGGCATTGGTTGACCTTGGCAGGCAGTGGTAGAGGAAGCAGAAATTATGTTCACCAGACAAAACTGTCTATACAGATGCACATTTATTATTAATTAAAGGCTTTTTACATAACCATTTCTGTCCCCAGTTTAAGCTGCCAGGATCCCTGGCTGTGCACATCTATACCTGCATTACATTACTGTCTCTGTTTTCTATTGATATGAAGCAACACCCTTCAGGGTATTTTAAGACCTCTGGAAGCTGGGAAAGAGCTGAACATTAATATATATATATATATATAATATATAATATATAATATATATAGCTGGGAAATAGCTACAACATTAATATATAAAAGAGGTAGTGGAACAAGAAAGGTGAACAGGGCATACAGCTGTTCTTTGCTTCTTCCAGTATAAAAATCAAAGAGCACAAAATTAAATTACTGGGTACTACTCCCAGGGCAAACAACAAGAATCACTTCAATCACTGCATGGAATGCAGTTCTACTATGTTCCATAGTCAATATGGGTTGCATACATTTCCTGTGATTTAAAAAAATCTAAAACAGCCAGAAACATACATGAAATAAAAATGCATCAATGAATATGAAATACAAAACCATTGACTTTCACTCAAGACATCCCTGAGTCACAAGTCACAGGAGGCTGGGAGAGCATTCCTGGATGCTGGCCCTGATAACATCTGCTGTGTCTGCTCTGCTGCTGGGGCAGGACCCCAGACCAAATGGACCAGTGCTCTGATCCAGCACAGATGTTCTGGTATTGTGTGCTGCACTGTGAACTCACTGGGCAATTGATCTGGGTAAGAAACAAGCCAGCAGGTTTTGTGGTTTTTGGTTTTTAACCCTGATCAGCTCCCTGACCTTGTTCCCTGATGGCCAAATAAATGATTGAATGGGCTCTGCTAAGGGAGCCATGGAAGAAGGATGAGTAGTGAGGCTTTGGCAATGGGATGAAGGAGCAGGAGGAAACAGAGCTGACTAAGCCATTTTTGCAGCTGAAAGAAATTCACATGAGGCCAAAAATATTGATGGAGAGCTGGTGTGAGTCAGAAACTGAATCTTTCCTGTGTGGATGATACAATGTCAATTAAGGGTGCACAGAGCTGCATGTATCCCAGAGTTATTTTGATGGGTGCACAGAGAGCACTGGGAGGAGCAGCCCAGTGAGGAGCCGTGGCTGAGCCCTCCCTGCTCCCCTCAGCAGCAGCAGCAGCAGCAGCAGCAGCACCCTGTTGTTGCCACACAGGGCAGTGGAGCACATCTGTGCCCTTCCCAAGCTGTGCGCTGGGAGAGGCAGAGTTTCATTTCTGAGCATGGCATTCCTGACTGTGATGGAGCAAAAGTCAGTATTATCAGTTTCACAGAGCTAAATTTCTGTTTTATTTTCTGTGTAGACTATTAAGGATAACTCTTGTATTCACAGGTTCCCAGATGAAGGAAGGAAATGATGAAGCTGACTCCATGTTCTCAGAAAGCTAATTTATTATTTTATTGTACTAGACTATAATAAAGAATACTAAACTAAACTATGCTAAAGAATACAGAAAGGATACAGACAGAAGGCTAGAAAGATACAAAAGAAAAACTTGTGACTCTTTCCAGAGCCCTGACACAGCTTGGCCCCAATTGGCCAATGAGTGAAAACAATTCACACCAGAAACCAATGAAACAATCACCTGCTGGATAAACAACCTCCAAACACATTCCAAAGCAGCAAAACACAGGAGAAGCAAATGACATAATATTGTTCTCCTTTTCCTCTGAGGCTTCTCAGCTTCCCAGGAGAAGAATCCTGGGCAAGGGAATTTTTCCAGAAATTATGATGGTGACAGATAACTTGACTCTTCAGTTAAATGAAAAAACTCTTTGTTTTGGCTTTTTGTTTGGTGGGGTTTTTTTTTTGTTTTTGTTTGTTTGTTTGTTTTGTTTTTTGGTAATCTATTGAAAATGCTGGGCACAAGAACTCTAGCATTTCTGTTCATATCATAACACTTGTGCTTGGGCATATATCCAGGCCAAAAAATGAAAGGAAAGGACTGAATCAGAACTGGCTAGAGTTTTGGAACTCATTCTTGAGGTATTTTTTCCTTTTTCCCTTCAGTGAGATTTCATGAAAACACTAAAAACAGAAACAGGCCCAGTCTTACCTCAACAGTCACTGATTGCAGAAAGGCAGTCTCACAAATTTCCCTCTATTTCAGATTTCTTAATAAATAAGCTTTACACCACAGGTATTGAGATCTGCAAGCTGTTATATTTTTAACAGCCTTTGTCCCAAAATCTTACAGACAATCTGCAGAATAAGAAAAATCTGTCTCACACTGACAGTTTTTGTAGCAATGTGAATCATCACTACTCCACCTAAATTCCCTTTGCTTGTATTCATGTGGCAGTTTAGCTTTATTTCTCACACCACCTCGCAGAGCTCTTAGAGGAGCTTCACAAGTGGGTGCAATGCAATTCTTCCCTCCAGTTTCATTGACAGCATATCACTGTGCTCTTTCTTCTGCATGATGATGGTTTTAGATCTGCCTTTCAGCCCTTCAAGCCACCAAATTTGGGTGGCCAGACAGATTTTGTAGACAGATAAATAATTGTTCAGTAAAACTTATTGTCCCCTCTCTCTCTTCTTTTTTTTTTTTTTTTTTATACCCTAAAGGCAAAAGTTTTTTGAAGTCCAAATTGTGCCAGGCTGTTTTGTACCTGCACAGATCATACAGAGACTTTGCTTCTTTTTCAAGCCTCCTGTGGAGATTGCTGAAAAATGAAGACTGACTCTCAATACTTTCAGGTAAGATTGCATAGCATATATTTGAACTGTATTGCAACATCTGAAGCAGCCAAAAATTTCTTAGCAGTCCATGTGATCCTTGGCTTTGCTTAGCAGAAGGTAAGCATGGAGGGAGAAATGCGCTGATGATGAGAGCACTGGGTGGGGATCCAGTGGGTCTTTAATGGATTCCTCACTCTGCTGCAGATTACCTGTGGGACCCTGCTCGAGATGATTAATCTTACATCATTTCTGTGTAATTAGATATTCAAGTTCTCACAGGAGAATGCTCAGGAATTAGCTCTCCCTGTAGGTGCATGTACTGCATCTCACATGACTGTCCCTTCAGGTGAAATAAAATCCAGGCAATGAGTGCTGTTGCTAATTGCTGATAATTTTAGTCAATAATTGTAACTGGAAATGAAGCATAGCAGTTTGGAAAGAACTGAGCATTTAAAGAAAAAACTAAACAAACAGAGAAAATAATTTAGAAAGTTATTTAAGTGATTTTATTCTTGAAAAATCTTGTCACTTCAAGCCTACCCTACATCTGTTCCTTGGTGTGCCACAGATTTGCCACATGAAATGTGGTTATGATCTCTTCCTCTTCCTGTCCTCTTGCCTTCCATCATTAAAATAGGATTATTGATACCTAGAAGGGAACTAAGAGTGCTCGTGTAGATCCTGGGAGAGGAAAGGAAGCCAGTTCTTGACCTGCCAAGAAGTGGAGGCTAAAGGCTTCACTTGTATGAAACTTTGTGCAATTCTATAAATGTTTTTAATTCTGAGCATTTACCCTAAATGTCTGGGCATTTCTTAGAATTACCCTGTTTTTAAAGGATTTGATATGAGCTGGCTATAATGTGAACAATTCTTAGTCCTCAAGATCTGAAACATTATTTTCCCTTAGAGATTATTTTTTTCCTGAGTGGGTTCCTAGTACAGTGGATTCTTCTTTTAGGCTGGCTGGCAACTCTGGCACTCTTTTCACCCTTGTGAGACCTCACTTGCTCCTGTTAGCAGCAATCACCTCAATATTTGCAGCAGAATATCTAGGGAGAACACCTTGTTCCATGCTCTGGAGCACAAATTCTTACCAAACAAGTTCCAAGGCAGAGCAGGCAGTTCAGTATCTTTGCGCTTCCAATTTAACAGAGAAAAATTGTTTTGAAATTGTACCTTTGGGTCAGTCTGCATCATGCTCCTGTGTAAGGCAGAGGGCTTTAGAAGGTGTCCATCTACCTGGTATATGCAACCAAGTTATCCCAACTAACACATTGAGAATCTGAGCAATTAAAATTATATCATCACCAAAAAAATCAAACCTATGAAATCTTTGAAGAAGCTAGTATTCTTTCAGGAGAACCACTTATGACTAAATGGCTAAATATGTCCTTGGCTTGTATGACTTTTCTAATGAGATTTTTGTGAGTGTTCTTTTTTTATCACCTTAAGCTCTGTCAGGGGTTCACTGTTCAAGGTTTAAGAAACCTGGGTAATTGAAATATTACCAAGAGGGGAAAAGGTGCCCAGTAGCTATTTCAATGGTGTCAAGAAGAACAAGGTTCTATCAAAAAGTCAATTTCAGTCTCAGGAGAGAGACAGAAGTACTTTTACCAAATTCAGCAGAAACTTCTATCAAGATTGATATGGAATTGGAAAGCAGGACTGAACAGACTTTGGTTTATCTTGTAGTTCACAACCCTCCTCCAGGCAGATGCAGCCAGTCCTGAATCACTCATGGGAAACGTTTGTGTAATCCCTTCCTACAATCCTCCAGTAAATGAGATTCCATGGCTTCCAAAACAACCTGCTCCAGGCCTCGCCATCCCTACTATTGAAAATATTTTTCTAGCATCTAACCCAAACTTCCATTGCATTATTTTAGTCCACAACTTTGAATCTGTTCCTGGCAGGCATGAAGGAAAATTCCTCCCTTTTCACAGACACCTATATTGCAAAATGTCACAGTTACCACAAATTTCTCGTTAATGGAAGAGGTCCTGCCTGAGTTGCCACAATTTGCTGTGTTCAGCAATATCATGTGTTTACAAATCAGTGGTGTTTAAGTGTGCTGGATTGCTTAAGCCCCAAAAAGAGAAGTGAAATGCTTTGGCTTTGCCCAGCCATGAAGCTGCAGCTGATGCACAGAAACTTATCTAAAGACAGCAGACTGTGTATCTGTATCCTCAGCCTCCAGCTCAGGAAAAAACCCCACTTTTCTTGGCTGAAATTTTCCTAAAACTGCTCAACCTGGGCTTTACTGGATTAGTGTCATAGAAAATTTAAATTAACTAAGAGTTTAAGCTTGACAGTGTCGTAATGAAAATGTAGAATCTTGTAAGGCAATGTTAACAAAGCTGCCATTACTTCTGCTTGATTTATGTTGCTCTTTGACAATGTGTATCCAGGCAAATGCAGGGATAGTAGTCTCTGCAGTTCAGTAATTCCTTTCACCTTCTGCTTTTCCTTTAAATATTCTTGAAATGTTCATATTAGATAAACAAAAAACAGCAAAATGCACTTTTGTTTTAGAACTTTGGCCTTGAATCTCTGATAGCATGACTATGAGTCACACAAATGTAGAATACATGCTTTTGTGAATAATGAGTCAGTAAAATATTTTCTGTTGGTGTTACAGACATCTTAGGGAGCTTTACTGGCTGTAATATGACCTCTAAAATATTTTTAACATAAATTAGATTCTGCTATTGTTCTATAACATTTAGGATATAACAGTTTTATTACATAAATTATGAAAGCTATAATCTTTATGTTTCTCTATAGCTTTGGAGGGAAAACAAAAAGGCTCAATTTGAACAAAGGTTCATAAGTTGTAGGTTTTGTTTTCTCTTGGCTTTGGATCTTTTATCACTTTCTCTCATTCTTGATGGTTCTTGCTCGCACAACTACAAAGCTTTTAGCATCCACAGTGAATGTTTTTGAATGGAACACTTAAAATCTCCTAATGAAAAGGAAATTATTTTTTTATATATATATACACACACACACATATATATGTTGGTAAGAAGATACAATCACCTAAGGATGAATTGATGGATTTACACACTGTGCTTAGGAAATTTATTTAAGGTGGTGCAGGACTATTTTCAATTAGGACAGGAGTTTTCTAACTACAGTCTCAATCACTGCCTACAGCACTTATTTTCTCAGTGTGGAAGTCAGCATTTACCTACATCTCTGAGCTCCAGGAGTCAGTGAGGGTTGCAGGTGGATGAACCCAGGTCCCATTTCTCCCATTCTGAGTATACACACAGGTCTAACAGAATAACACCTCTACGTGTTTCAAATACAACAACATTTTGTTATGTAGGAAGTTCTTGGTAAAGGCAGAGTAAAAATAGCTATACTAATATCCTACCCATGTGCAGACTGGGCTATTTACCTCTTCTTTAAAGTCTTTTCCTTATTTTCTTCCAGGTTCCATCTAGGCTGTTACAGATGAACATAACCACATCCTTTTCAACCAATCACTCCTTTTTTTATTTATTTTCCTCTCTTTTTAATGGATGCAAGACAACTCTTATCCTGAGCACAAATACCAATGCATGCTCCAGAATGTATGCCATTATAAGAAAACTTACAGAAAAGTAAACTTACTTGCTGTTAAAACACAAAGTATTTGGAACTTTATAATCATATATCTTTTAGTGATTAAATTAACCTACTTCTAAATCTTAATTCTCCAAGTAAAATAAAGTGCAGAATCAGATAATTCTTGTCTGGTGAAACTGTTGCAGGTTTGACAATGTCTGATGTGCAGTAAACACAGACACACATAGCGTACCTGCTTTCTAATGTGTGGGTTTTGTTTTCCTCAATATGGTATGTTTTAAGGAGTTTTAGCTGGTTTATTAATCCTAGTGGAGAGGCCCAGAGAAGCTAACTTTAGCTTCAGGATGGATTTTGGGGGTGCAACCCCTGGCCTGCCCAGGCCACACTATGATCTGAGATCCATTTCATGTAGGGCAGATTGCTGCCCTGTATGAGCTCAGGTTTACAAGAGATTCCTTTTACCACCACCAACCTTCCAAGATCTGGTGGGAAATATGTGCTTACTCACTGTTTGCTGCTTTTTTCTAGTTTTTTGGGGGTAATGTGTGCATAATACCACTCTACATGCAGAGATCTAGAAACCAGTTTAAAATGTTTTGTTGAGTCATTCCACTTTCCAGACTAAGGCTGTAATGTCATGAGCATTTAATTCACTATAACTCAGCCATGCTGCTCTACCAGCCCCAAATGCCTTGTCCTGTTCCTGTCCCAACCCTACAGGAAGCTGGCCCATTAACACTAAACTGGCAAATAAATGGTGAGTTTATAACAGGGATTATTGCTCTGATCTTCCTCATGCAGCTAGCTCAGTGTTTGTGCTGGGACATGGAGGGAGCTGCAGGATGGCAGGAGAGAATCTGGATGGCAGTGTCTGCCTCCATGGGTTTACACTGCTTGTGCTTCTGAGGTGCTCAAGAAGAATTTTGAGGGGACAGTTCCTCAGCTGGACTGGAGTGCTGCTTCCTCTCCTAAAACTGAGGCTGATTGTTCTGCAGAGCAGCCCTGAGTGCTGCATAGGCTCGTGGCTCCTGCAGGTGTCAGGACCTTTTCCAGAGACCTATGGCAATGACAGAAAGGCGTAACTTAATCACCCAACTTAGAAAAAAAATCCCAAATTAACTTTTGCCTAAGATAACAGGGTTTGAACTCTACTTATTAAATAAAACTAGGGCTTGTAAAAAGCATTCTTAGCATAAGAACATAAAAATACATTATACAATTCAGCACCTTATATTTATAATTTCCATAAAGACCATGACATAAAAAATGTTTGCCTACTAAATTAATTTTCATCAGGCTTCATTGCACTGTCTGTTCTCCTGATGTTTCCCAGAGACAGCTGCTTGAAGTTTTTGATTTAAATCATTAAATGCTTGATTTATGGTGCATGCTTCCGGAGCCTTAGCGCTTTTCCAACTCATATTGCAGTGTATTCATATCCTAAT